TTTTTTTTTTTTTTTTTTTTTTTTCCTTTTTGCCTCTGTAATTCAGAGATATTGCTCTTTTTCCCTCTCGAATTCTGGGTGGCATAGCGTCGCACCAGTAAATTTCTCGTCTTTTGACGTTTTATAGCTATGGTTGCAAATGGGGTTATTGTTATTTTCCTTAGGTTCATTATTGCTGCATTTCCTCTTTACCGTTATTATTGTTGGTGTGAAAATGGAAAGGGAGTTACGAAAGGTATATAGTTAGGACTTTCGAGTTTGTAACGTTGCTTCCATGCTTAAATGATATGAAAATTAGTTCAGTTTTATTAATTTTTGAATTATTACTGTAATCTAGATTTCATTGTTATGGGATTTGTATGTTTATTGATTATGGAGGCTTGGGAGAGAGTTATATACGAGGAGATTGACTTGTTGTTTTTTCCACACTCGAAATTTACTGTAATCATGGTGGATTGGTGGGAAATTTGCCAATGGTTTTTGTGACAATAATTCCTATTTTGGTTAATTACAATTGAGGCTCAAGAATAAGAAAAAAAAAATATATATGGGCATGTTAAGGCTAGGACCTATTTCCAATCACATTGCTCCTAGCAGTAATCAATGTTGTACCACTGTATTAGACCACCATTTACTAATTTCTAGACCGACTAATAGCTGGTGATTATTGTGCTTTACTATTTGGTTTTAGTAATAGTTCCAACTTTCAACACCTTCACTGAAATTTAGTATTTGCGGCAAATTTGATGTAGTTGATTGGGAGAACTCCAATGGTATATCTCAACAAAGTAACAGAGGGCTGTGTGGCAAATATTGCTGCTAAACTTGAATCTATGGAACCTTGCAGGAGTGTCAAGGATAGGTATTACTTTATCTTGAATGAAGCATCCACTCTATGATAACTGATTTTCATTGCATTTTCTATTCAGAAAAGCAAATGCATGTTGTTAACTTAACTTCTTTTGTTGTATTGATGCCAATATCCTTGGTGGGTCTCAGTCTCAGAATATCAGTGAATTGTTTATCTTCTTCTGTTACCTGATTTATTTATTCTTGGATATGTTAAAATGATTGATGTTTTCTGTTTGCCATGGTTGAGATTTTAGGATTGGTCTTAGTATGATATCTGAGGCAGAAGAAAGTGGAGCAATTTCTCCTGGAAAGGTCAGCATGATAATTTTTATTGTTGGTTCTTATGAATTCCACCACAATAGTGTCCTTTTCTTCTAAGATATTGTTATCCAATATGAGCTGTGATTTTTAATTCTCCCACATCATATTTTGGGTTTTATTCCTCTGCAGACTATATTGGTGGAACCAACAAGTGGAAATACCGGACTTGGTATTGCATTTGTTGCAGCAACTAAGGGATACAAACTTATAGTCACCATGCCTGCATCCATAAATGTTGAAAGGAGAATCCTTCTGCGTGCATTTGGAGCTGAAATTGTTTTAACAGATCCAGAAAAAGGTCTAAAAGGGGCTATTGCTAAAGCTGAAGAGATTGTCCTCAACACACCAAATGCTTACATGTTTCAACAGTTTGATAATGAAGCCAATACAAAGGTAATTGATATTTTATCTTGCAATAGATCTTGAATAGTGTTGATTGCACCTAAATATTCACCTTTTTATAATTATATAACTTCATGAACTGCAGATACACTTTGAAACTACAGGACCAGAAATATGGGAGGACACTTTGGGTAGTGTTGATGTATTTGTTGCTGGAATTGGTACTGGTGGTACAGTAACAGGAACTGGGCGTTACCTGAAAATGATGAATAAAGAAATTCAGGTCTATATGCTTTTAAATTGTACTAGTTTACAGTGTCCATTTCAATTCAATAGTTTCACTATCCAATATGATCTATAAGCAGTAACTACAGAGATATTGCTCTTGTTTATCACATTTCACACTGCATCAACTCTTTAACATAAGAAAAGATTTTATCTGACATTAGTATCTCACATATGATTTTTTATTAGTTTAATGATAAACATTCATTTTTAGATTGTATCAGTAACTAGAAAGTCAAAGTAAGTGTCTCTTTTGTTGCATCCCTTGGAAATTTTTTCATCCTTTGAACAACTTGTATTACTTAGGTTGTTGGAGTGGAACCTGCAGAGAGGAGTGTAATCTCTGGAGAAAATCCAGGTGGAAAGCTTCTATTTGGTTTCAATTTTTCATTAAATTAATATTCTTGCTAATTTATGTCTAAATGAAATTATGTTTCTTTTGCTGCTTAAAGTATTAAGATTTTGGTGCAGGTTATGTCCCAAGCATCTTGGATGTTAAGTTGCTTGATGAGGTTGTCAAGGTAAATAACTCTTTCCCACTTTTCTGCCTTTTTTGTACGCCCTTTCTGCTTCTATAATAGAAAAGACCAATTTTTAATTCGTTCTGTTTCCATTGCTCTAAACTTTTGTTGCACTAGAAAGAACTCCTTCTGTAGTTTATATTTATTGAGGATGCAGAACATATTCTAACTTTAGGTGGTTTTCCCTGTCTCATGTCCTCTTTGGATCCGAATTGCATCCTCATCAGTTCATTTTGGAGTTTTTGTTTTCATTTTGCAATAACCAGTTCAACTGGGAAGTGGTCTCCCCTGTGAGAGTCCATGCATTTTCATCCTTAGTGTGTCTTTTATTTTATTTTGTTTTTTTGTGTTCCTTATATATGTATAAATTTGTTGAATAAGCTTTTTTCTTTTTTTTTTTTCTTTGGGGGGGGTGGGGGTGGGAAGAACTGTAACTTCGGAACATCCTGATGTTTACCAGTAACCCTATTGCTGTAGAGTGTGCATTGATGGAATCACTCTCACTAATTTTCTGCATGTACAACCAGCACCCAAAGAAGATTATTCTGGTACTAACATAATTTATTGATTGTGACTGAGAGATCAAAGTAATTAGGTCAAAAAAAATTAAAAATAAACTTTGAACACAAGACTTAATTTAAAAATATCCAAATTTTATATTTAAGAGAGGGTAGGAAAAAACAAAATAGAAAATAAGACTTTAAGAGTACAAATGGCTGGATCATAGCAGCACTTCAACTCAAAAATGCTGTTTGGTTGTAAATAATTAATTGAATCAAGTGAAATTTTTGTATAATAGACATCTGAAACATTTTAAATATGGTTTTCAATGAACCATAGAAAAAATAGAAAGGAAAATGGCTTAACTTTTGAACCTTCATCAGTTTACCACTTGGAGATCTGTCTTTCATTTTTGAATTCTAGAGGCTCCGCAGCATTTAGTTTTAGTATTTTTATTGGATGATCTTGCAGAAAATATCCAATTGGAGTCGAAGATCTTGATTTCCCACTAGATCTATGAAGTTTGTTTGTTAATTTTTCAGGGCTCTTAGCTTGCAGTTTCATCACATGACCTAGTCATATGAACTCTCTAATGTAGGTTACCACTGATGAAGCTGTTGAAATGGCAAGAAGATTAGCACTGGAGGAAGGTTTGCTGGTAATATGCAAATATATTATTTCAATAGAGAGCAGCTATTAGCATTTTCATTTTAATATGAGTGCTTATTGTAATATGTTCACAAAAGTTGTAGCTAACAAGTTGACATTCTAAGAGATGTCTCAATAAAGGGTTAGGATCAACTTGCACATGAGTAAGAACAAGGAACTCTTTGAACTCTTACACAAGCTTATAAGCTTCGATATAGTTGATATTTTGAAAAACCAATTGTTGGATCTATTCATGTAGATCATGCATGCCAAATTTCATAATTGATTGAATAGATTTAGCTATCCTATTTATTATACAATTTTATGTTGTTAAATAATTTTTTTTTTCTATCAAATGGTTGTAGACGTTAGATCAACTTGAAATTTGGCATCCATGTCTACATGTATATAACAATCAATCCAACAATTGGTTTTCAAAATAATAACTATATTGGAAATTATAATCATGTGTAAGATTTCCTTATTCATACACATGTAAGTTGTTCCTTACTCTTCCATAGAGTTGATTCCTTCCAAAAAAATTTAGCTTCTGGTTCTCCAATTTTGTAGGCACAGATATTACCAGCCTTTGCCTCAACTGATTGGTCCATTTTGAAATTAAACAAACTTTAAGTCAGCATTTGAAAAAATGCATTTCACAGAATTTATTCACTTCAAAAAGTTTTCTTTTTTTACCCCTTAATAAGCATTAAGTATGTTTTCTCCTTGTCTGAAATACATTAAGGAATACAAAATTAAAATTAAAAATAAGGCTCATCCTTTATATGGTAGCGGGAAAAGGGTTTTGGTAGAGGTCTTAAACCACTGCTTAGCACCTAAAATAGAAAATTAAAATGGTGGAAAACAAGGGATGGAGTGAGCATATTACAACTTCTGTTTTCTTGATTTTTGGGGTGGAGGTCTCTTACCCATTTTCTGAACCTTTTTATATTAGATAATTCGGTGTTTAAATCTTGTAGTTTTGTGTTCCTTTTGAATTCTGTCCACAGATCAATGATAAATGTGTTTTTAGTTCTACTAGTTTTTTTCCCTTTTTCTAGGTTGGCATTTCATCAGGAGCTGCTGCAGCTGCTGCAATTGGCTTAGCAAAAAGGCCTGAGAATGCTGGAAAACTTATTGTAGTAAGAATAAGTTCCCCCCTTTATCTCTTTGTATTTGCAACAATTTGTATTAATTTATTTAATTTTCATATTACTATATTAGGCCATTTCTTATATTAACTTAATGTTTTTTTTTTTTTGGTTGTGAATAATAACAAAAATTGAAGCTTAAAAACGAGATAAGGTCAAAGTGATATTTTATCTTTTAAGGAATTTCTAGGCAGACCCATAACTTCATTCAGATACTTGTCTTGACATGATAGAACAGAATTGACAATTTACTGCAAATAGGGACCCAATTTCTTGGAAAGCACTAAAGATTATACTACCTAATCTGTAAACAATTTGAGGGCATCATCATATTTTTTATTTTATCAAAATGGGAATCTCAAGAGTTTCTTAGGAATGGATAATTTGATGCATTTTTTGATACCTTATAGTCATATTCAGTTGGTTGCAAGCCCAGTGGATGAACATGGAGAAAAGGTGTTATACTAATCAACCCATTGAGATTACTTGTTAATCATTCCTCAAATGAAGGCTGGTCCATAGTTTTTGAAATTGTAGCTCATGTAGTGGTAATTAGTTTGTCTTGTAATCTCAAAGTTTTTAACCCCATCATATTTCTAAATTCTGATAAAAAGTTCAATTTACATCCATCTGTTTCCTAACTGCTTCTTACATTCTCTCTCTCTCTCTCTCTCTCTCTCTCTCTCTCTTTTGAAATACTGCTTCCTTGCATTCTGATAGACACTTGACCTAATCTTATTTCTGCATACTACCTAATATCATCATGAGAAATTTTGCTTGTTTATCTGAGATATTTTCTTCTTCTTCTTCCCTGGCAACAAATCCTACGTGTACTAATGTCTCCAACCTCAGTCAAAACTGAATTGATCTGCAAGTTTCAAATCTTGTTAATTAATTTGAAAACTGTATGATAACATTTATTTCGCATCTAGTATTGAGGTCACTATCATTTAGATGTTTTGATTTCAAGTTCATTTAGACTCCAAGTTTTCGTACATGGGGAGAATAAGTGGGATTATTTATTTATTTATCATGTTTTTGCACAAAATTTGACAACATATCATACATTGATACATGTAATGAAGGGATTATTTATCCTTTATCTTCCTAAACCAACTGCACATGCTCATTTGGATGGCCCAGGAAATGCTGTATCTAATTTTCAACAATGTATGTTGCTCAAAGAAAGGGCGGTATATAAGGGAGACTGTTGAGAAATTACTAAGAAATCAATTCACTATTAGCTTAAGCATTTATAATCACTAATTATGTTATTACATTATGAATATAAGTTATGGAACAAAATCTGGTCACCAAATTCCTAGTTTATTAATTCTCTATCAGCTTATATCTCTGGAATGTTGTCATGCTTTGCAGCTCCTCAAAGCATTTGATGCTTGCAACTTATATCATAGAGAGATGTATTCTATCTTAGCAAATTCAAATTGAGTGGACTTGAAAAGTATTCATGATTTTTTGTTTCTTATAAGCCTCTGTAAATCAACAGCAGTACAGCTTATGTCTGTGAAATGCACATACTCACTCATACATATATATGTAAAGTGTTTATCAACGTGAATTAAACTGTTTTAGGTTTTTTCCTGTGTTGTTTTATTGATTTAGAACTGACAGGTTCCAAGAAATTACTTGCTATTGTCAGTCTTGTTTCTTTACATCGTAAATAGCTATGTGATGACTTGCAATATGTAATCATTTTCTTCACAAAATTAGCTTTTATTTTGATTTACAAAATTTTCCGATGTTATATGCAGACTTGGCCAGAATATTTCTATTAAATCTTATTGTGCTATCCAAAATCTTTGATCCTCTCTAACCAGAGGAGCTATGGTTGTGAATATAGATAATTATGTTAAAGCTCCTGAGGAAAACTAGAAAAAAGGACATTAAAACTGCATGTGCATTTCTTCTTGAAAGAACTTTTAATTTACCTTTCAATGGTCACTTGGTGATATAGGTTATGTTTCCAAGCTTTGGTGAGAGGTATATACCCACTGTTCTTTTCCATTCTATACATGAAGAGGTTCAAAAAATGGAAACAAGATAGTGTAAAGTTTCTCATATGGTTCAGACTGCCGTAGACCTCAGTCCTCATATATTCAGATGCAAGCTGGCCACTATATTTCTTGATAGGTAAATATAAATCGCTTTTGTTGGGTAGTTTATGCAGCCAACATTCTTAGACCAATTACCTATGTTTCGCTTTTTGCAGGTGCAATTGTCATATGAAGGATGCTTGTACTTTCTGACAAGTCTTTGAAGTAATGCAATGTTCCAGAGTTTCTCTAAGGCAGGGTAGTGCATAAGAGGTTTCTCTAGATTAGTGGATTTCTTTGTTCATTGATATTGACAACATTTTTAGTTAGAGAAGCACATCAAAATGTTTTGGCAAGTGATATGCAGCTCAGTTTATTTGTTTCAGTGCATTTTTCTAGCTGTGTAGATTAATGCCAGGCCCAAAGAGTTAAGATAGCTATCTATTTGTAGGATTGGATTTTAAACTGGTTTCTTACACAAGTAATGATCTGTGCAAGCATGTTGGGTTAAGGGGATGAGGTTGCACATAATTGCAAATACGGGTTTGAATATGTGAGAATCTTTTTTGGTGCACCTAATAATGGGCTATACAATAAGAAATAGTGTCCGCTTCCCCTCCCAAATCTCTTCTTACCCTGTCTCAAGATTCGAGCATGAGACATTCAATTTGAAATACCCTCTTAGGGATCAATCTATGAGAATCTTGTGGTTTTATAACTGAATCAAGGTCTTGTTACGGTGAATTTATATGTCAGGAGCTTAGGGTATCCGCAGGATCATCTATCTTGTAGTTGGGAGAATCTCTTCAACCATAGTTCTGTTTTCCAAAAAAGAGTTGCAAATTTAGTTTCTTCTTATTACAATAATACTTCTTGGTGGTGTCATAGAAAATGAACTATTCACTAATCTTGCATTTTTTTCAGTATAACGAGAATTAGTAGCTAGACATTGTAAGGATTTAGAGCATGTTTGGTGAAACTTGTAAGTGCTTTAACTTTTTGATAGTATTCATGTTTTATAAGTTTAAATTTCTCTTAAAAACTTATATTTTTTACCTTCTTTTTAATTTTAAAAAGACATTAAACAGTGAATTTTGAAAAGTTTCAAATTTTTATTTTTTGTAAACTTTTTTTTTATTCATTTCTTACTCACTTTTTATGATTTTTAAAAACAACTTTTAAATTTTTCTTTCAATAAAAATTTAACTTATGACTCATAAACAGTACTAAAAAAGTAAAGGTTTAAAGAAACTCCACCAAACAGGAGACTGTTCATCTTGACCTTCAATTGCAAGGATTTAAACTCTTCA